CGTAAATCCGGAAATTTCGCCGAAACGCGGAAATTAGGGTTGGGACCGAAATTTTTGCGAAATTTTTTTTTTCCGTTCTCCTTGTTTGAGAAATTCCGAAAATAGGTTTAGGCTTTTAAAAATCGGATTTTGACGGTGGAAATTCCCGAAAATTCGCGTTTTTGAAAATTCGAGCGTTTTTTTCTTCTGAAATTTTCCAAAATTTTTTTAAGCACACTAAGCCGTATCTGACCCTCAAACTGCAACTTCCGGGTCGTTCACTCAGTAACGGTGAACTCCCGGACTCAAAGTGATCTCAAAGAGACCTAATCATAATACCTTTCAAATTCGTTTATTATCATGATTGCAATTATTGTTATTGATTATCTTTATTGCAAATAAATGATTAGTGGTTATCTTTATTACGAACATCGTTTTACTGATTATCATTCGGATTTATTTCGTAAATTATCATTAATTAATTTTATTGATTAAATCGTTATTAATTCCTTATTACGAATTTTTGAAGGGTTTACGGAAATTTATTTTTTCTGTTTGATTAGGTGTCTACAGTCCATCAGTGGGACAGGGGATTGTATGTATATTGCTCGATTGTTCTACCCCTGTTCCCACTCTACCTACCCCCCTGTAGTCTGTGAACACCGGCACCTCTCAAGTACCGCATCAGTTCAGACTGTTGTCGACGGAACAAGACACCGGGGCACTGCCACGGCGCAGTGCCAGGATCGCAGTTCGTGCCCGCCCTGCGGTACCTCCAAGACCCAAGAGATTCAGCAGACGGACGACTCCAGCGGCATCAAGTACGGCATTGATAGTACAAGACACCACCGGAGATTTTCCCGCATGCCCGGTCTGAGAGGCCAGCGAGTCTTGGGATGACTATCTTGGGCGGCTACAGGCATTTACAGACGCCGTAGCCGCCGCCGAGGCTCAGCAGGCTGCGGCAGAGGCAGAACGTCAGCGGCTGGCCAATGAGGCGGCAGCCGAAGCTCAGCGGACAGTTGAGACTGACGAAGCGGGACGAAACAGACGGAATTCCGCCAACACGGAGTCCCTGATTGCTAGTGAGCATCAGTGGACAACGGTACTCCAAGGCATGATCTTTGTGCCTACGGAAACGCAGGCGGAGCCGATACAGGCGGAGGTAGAGAGAAGTAACCTGGGTACCGTGATGTTGAACGTAATGAGAGGAGTAATGTGGAACAATAAACTACTGCAGGCACATCTGCACGCGGATCGTCAGCAAAGACACCAGTACCAGCAAGACCTGGCCGTTGTAACGGCCGACGTCCGCGACGCAGCAGTGCAGCGGCAGCAACAGCAACAGCTGATGAACTCTACCATCGCACGCATCAACGGCATTGAGGCCAAGGCCTCAGCAGCGCTAGGCTGCACGACGGACGCGACGAAGCAAATCAATGAACGCATCGATCACGTCGTCACCATCATCGGCGACATAGGTGTTTTCAACGGACCGGACACGATCAGCAGCACGGTGGCCGCCMTCAAGACGGACATCACCAAGCTATAGACGAGACCGGACGCCGCTACAAAGACGTTCAAGATGCCGCACTTCGACATCTGCAAGTTCGACGACTACAACAAGTCGGACGCTTTGACATGGTGGCAACGTTTCCTCATGGAAGCGTCATGCCGCACTGTCCCCGCGAACGACATGTTGAAGGCACTCTATTTGCAACTGATTGGAGGAGCGCAGACATGGATGAACCACCTGGAGGCCACCCTTAAGTGCACCATCGCCGAACTCCACACGCACATCACGTGGAAGGAGTTCGAGCAGCTATGGTTCACCCGGTTCATGGTCCGCAACGTCGTGAAGGCGGCCATGAATGACGTGTACACATGCTCTCAGGGGAACATGCCAACTCGAGACTGGACAACGAAGTGGCAAAAGATAGTGACCACGTCAGGATTCGATTTGAGTTTTCCAAATCAACGATCCGAGTTCTTCTCGCGATCGTGCGCGGGATTGCGGTCGGCACTCGGTAATGAGTACGACTATACCACATTCCAGGCCATTCTGGATCGAGCGAACTTGGTCATCCAAACGGACGACAAGACCGCTAACGAGAGACAATCCCAACCGCATTATGTGGCTAAGCAGGCCTATCAACGTCCGGCACATAACAATGCCGTAATTTCCGAGGAAACGGATGACCACCACGCTGCAGCAGCATCCTCGGATGATGGAGGAATTGTCGCAGGGCTCCCGCCGAAGCGTCCCAAGAGAGTTCGTAAGAACAAGGCGACACAAGAGACGGCAGCGACGGGAGCTGGGCAGCAGCCATGGACGGCATATAAGATCACCAAGGAGGTCTATGACCTACGTCAGAAGTACGGATACTGCCTTTGGTGCAACGGAGTCACTCATGTGACCGCACAATGCCCCGAAAAGGGCAAGGCACCCGTACCCCGTCCAGCAAACTTGGGAAACTGAGTTACGCAAGGAAAGGGGCGACGTCTCTCCTCACTCCGCCGGACCCGGTTGCCTTGCTAGCAATCGATGTCACTACCGGGAAGCATGCGTTAGTCGCTGATTCTCGTGCTACGTACAAGGATTATGCCGCCCAGCTGGTACCACCATTAGACCAGCCTAGCCACGTGCATGTAGATTGCGTATGCGCAGCCTGTACACCGTCGGCAAGTGACCCGGTCAGTTCGTCACTGATTTCCGAGGACTCGACGACGTGGTCAAGACTTGAGGAGCTTGACCCGCTCATGAGAGAGGATTTCGCTTGGATACCTCTACCCTCAACCGGAACATTGCCAAGGCCGCATTGCAACGCCTTGATGGCAAATCTACGCTCCTACTTGCACACTACAGTACCAGC